ACAGAAGTTTGGGAAAAACTTAGAGTTACCTATGAGGGTACAGATGGAGTAAAGGAATCCATAATAAATATCCTTTGGAGAGAATATGAAATGTTTAGCATGAAGGAAGGAGAAACTATTGCAGAGTTAAATTCTAGATTTACTAACTAATATAGTTAATACCTTTGAGAGAACTCATCGGAAAGGGAAATTTCAGAAGAAGAGCTTGTTAAGAATCCTTAGAATTCTACCTAGAAAATGGGATTCTATAGGAACTGTTATGAATTACAAAGAGACTCCCGTCACGTATGATTATCTAATAGGAGCTCTTATCTCAGAAGAAATGAAATCTTCCTTAACAACGAAAGATAAGAAAAAGAAAGGACTAGCTTTGAGGGTAGACTCTAGTGAAGAAAGTTCTTCTGATCTTAACAGTGATGATTTAGCACTTGTTGCTAAGAGATTTAAACATTTTTATCGAAAAGGTGGAAGGCCACAGAAAAGTTCAATAAAAAGAACTTTCCATGTAAAAATAATAACTTGCCCAAGAAAGAACCTTCTGAAGTGGTTTGTTATGAATGCAACAAACTTGGACATATTAAGCCAAACTGTCCTAAATTGAAAAAGAAATCAACGAAAGAGAAGCTGAAGCAGGCTCTCGTAGCTGCTTGGAGTGATTCAGATGATTCTAATCCTGAAAGCCACGATGATCAGGAAGAAATTGCTAATATAATATTTGTCTGATGGCTATATCGACTCTGAATCTAAAGAAATCAAGCACTCTGAACTGTCACACAGAAAAGCTGGAAACCAACGAGACAATGCAAAACGTCCATGAGAATGGATGAAAGCACTGTAAGTAATTTCTGACCAAGAATCAGAAAGTGGGGATCTTCTAATACTTACAATAATCTTTGCAATGAGTTTGAAAAACTTGGTTATAAAGCATAAAGTTCTAAAGAAAGATTCAGAAAATTAAAATCTGAAAGTAACTATTTAAAAAGATGTTTATTTAATCAAGAAGTTACATGCAAAGATCTTATATAGAAATCAAGATCTTAAAGTTGCAATAATCGTTTTCTGAAAATCTGACAACATCTTGAAGAAAAATGCCAAAAATCTGAAATTCTGAAAAATGAAATCCTTGAAAAACTGAGATAGAATTCTAAGAGTCAATTTCAGAATCATTTTACTAAAAGAGAAAACAAGTTCTAAAAATAGCATTTCCTAAACTGAATCGTGTTTCCTAATCAAAGAAAAATGCCTGTTTTCTAATGTTGTGACTTAGAACATCAAAGTTTTCAAAAAAGAATCATAAGTGCAACCTGTTACCAACTAAACCCTCCAGGACCCAATATGAGTTGGGTACCTAAATCTGCTTGATCTTTCAGGTGGTGCCCTAAGGAGCGAGCTAAAACAACAGAGATGTGGTACATGGACAGTGCTTGCCTAGAGCAATATGACTGTGACAAAAAGAAGTTCACCAGATTAGAAAAGAAAAAAGGGAGGTACGGTAAGTTTTGGAGACAAAGCAAAAGGTAAATTCGTTGGTGATTGGTGGTGGTGGTTCTAAATCCTTCGATAGAAGATGTATGCTTTAGTAAGAAGGATTACATTATAACACTTGTTAAGTTAAGTCAGATTTGTTGATAAAAATAGAAGAGAGTGATCTTTGAACCTTCTCATTGTGAAGTTCAGAACATGCAAGATAACAAAACCTTATTCGTTGGAAAAAGGTTTGGAAATATATACCTTGTAGACTCTCTGATATGCATAACCAAGATATATGCTTAGTTTCTATTGATAATTCTAGTTGGTTATGGCATAGAAGACTTGGACATGCAAGCACGTTCCTTATTTCTAAATTATCTAAGAAAGACTTATTGTGATCTAGCTTTAATAAGTGACATAAGACGGTGCTCCGGCACCGATTGTGGCATCCGCCGTCTGGTTCTCCGGGATTGGCCGATGGGTGTTACATCTTTCAAATCTAAGGGCATGGTTTCTATTTCTAGACTTTTAGAATTGCTACACCTTGATTTATTTGGACCTGTTATACCTTCTAGTCTTGGAGGTAAATTTGATGCATTTGTTATTGTAGATGATTACTCTAGATTCACCTGGACACTCTTCCTTAGAAATAAGGATGAGTAATTTGACATGTTTGTTCATCTTTACAAGAGAAACAGAAATAAAAAAGGCTACAACATCATCAGCAATTAGAAGTGATCATGGAAGAGAATTTGAAAAATCAGGAAATTCCAATGCTTTTTTGCAATGAACGGATCTTTCCATAACTTTTCAGCACGGGCTTACGAACACCTCACCAACAAAATGGGTGTGGTGGAACGCAAGAATAGAACACTTCAAGAATGGCTAGAACATGCCTAAGTGATTATAATTTACCAAAAGTATTTTCTGGGCAGAAGCGTTAACACTGCTTGTAATATCTAAACAGGTTTAGGAAGAATCTAAACTAAAAAGACACCATATGAGCTATACAAAGGTAGAAATCAAAATATTGGTTATTTCATATCTTCGGGTCTAATGCTCTTATTCTAGATAACAGAAAATCATCTTGCTAAATTTGGATGCAAAAATCTTATGAAGGGATTTTTCTGGATAATTCTAATAACAGTAAAGCATTTAGAATTTTTAATAAAAAGACTCTAGTGTAGAAGAATCTATTCAATGTTGGGTGTTTGAATGAAAACTGACTCTACTTCTAGAACATTAGAACAGTGAATGATGCTGTAGATTCTAATCCTGAAAAAGGAAATAAGCAATCAGACAACAAAACACCAAAAGCAATCAGAATCAATAGGTTAGGCTAACTGGACATATAGAAACATGAAGATCAGAACAATTTGTTGAAAGTCAAATGCCAGAACAGAAAATGAAGAATTCTCATTACCAAAGAATGGCGATTTCATAGTAATCAATTCCCAGAAAAGATAATTATGGACAATCTCAGAAAGGATGATGAACTAGAGCTTCAACTTAGAAGATATTTTGGTAATGTTGCTTTCGTTTCTCAATTAGAACCTAAAAATTTAGAAGATGCTCAAATGATGAAAGTGGATTTTGCTAATGCAAGAAGAGCTAAATTAAATTTGAGATAAACCAAAGTTTGGAAACTTTGTTTTCTAGCACCTAAAAACCATTCTAATTATTGAACAAAATGGGTGTTTAGAAATAAGCTTGATGAACATGGTATGTTGTGAGGAAAATAAAGAAAGATTAGTGGCTCAAGGGTACAACCAAGAAGAAGGCAAATCGATTTTGATGAAACTTGCTCACGGTTGCTGACTTGAGGCCATTAATGCTTTGTGCATTTGCATGCTTCAAAACTTCATGTTGTGTCAAATGGATGTGAAAAAAGTGCTTTTCCTAAACGGTTTTCTAAAATGAGAAGTGTATTAAACAACCTCCTGGCTTTGAAAAATTTTTTTGATAAACTACATGTTTACAAACTTGACTAAAAGCTCTTTATGGTTAAAGCAAAGCTCCTAGAGCTTGGTATGAAAGAAACGAGTAAGTTTTTAATTAGAAAAATGGTTTTTCAAGAGGAAAGGTTGATACAACACATTTATTAAAAATAAGCACATGATATTTCTTAGTGTACAATCTATGTTGATGACATATCTTTGTTCTACTAACGACCTCTTTTGCAAGGAATTTTTCTAAGATTATGCAGGGTGAGTTCGAAATGAGTAATGATGGAGAGTTAAACTTCTTCGCTTGGACTTCAAATCAAACAATGTGAGAATGGAATTTTCATTATCAAGGAAAGTACTAACTAGAGAGCTGTTGAAATGATTTAAAAATGATAAATGCCAAGGTATGTAGTACTCATGAGCCCATCATGCAAAAATTAAATTAGAAAAAGATGAAAAAGGCAAGGATGTGGATATCAAGCTGTTTAGAAGTATGATTGGTTCTTTGCTATATCTAACGGCAAGCAGACCAGACATATATTTTAGTGTCTGTCTATGTGCTAGATTTAAATCGTGTCCCAAAGAATCTCATTTAATTGCTGTAAAAAGAATACTAAGATATCTTTGTGGAACTTCTAATCTGGGTCTATGGTATAACAAGAATAGATAGAAAAAGCACGTCTGGGACTTGTCAATTTCTGGGTAGTGCCCTTGTATCATGGTTTAGCAAGAAACAGACATCAGTTGCTCTTTCTACCTACTCAAAGCAGAATATGTTGGCCTGCTGGAAGTTGGTGTTGCAACAAGTTTCTAATGGATCAAACAACAGTTGGCAGACTATGGACTGAAATTAGAAACAAGTGCCTATCAAATGTGACAACATAGAGCGCCATCAATTTATTCCAAGAATCCCAGTTCAGCATTCTAGGAACCTAGCATATAGACTCAGACATCACTTCATATGTGATCATGTAACAAAAGGGTGATATCGTGATTGAGTTCATTCCAACAAAGAAAAGCAATTGAGCAGATATTTTTACATAACCTTTGAATTGAAAGTCAATTCCTTGCGCAATTAGAAAGAGAAAACTGTTGTTAGTTCTAAACTCATAACTATAGAAGTAACTTTAGAACTCTGTAAGTATGTTCTAAACTGCTTTCTAATTTCAAGAATAGAAGATTTGCTATGTTCTAATTTTTATTCTGTGTAAAAACCAATTTTTGTCTAAAAACGCACATTGCTCTGATATGACTTTCTAAAGTCACTATCAGAATCTTGCTGTAGACTAAAACAATTATTTTTATTGTATTGTGTTTGTATTTATTATGTTTTCGTGTCTCTAGTGCTTTGGCAGTTTTAGGGTTTTATATTTTTGTTTGTTTTGTTTTATTTCCTTTATTTATTTTGTTTCTTTTGTCTTATTTGTCGTTTTGAATTTTTGAATTCCATTTAAAAACTGTTCTTTAATTCTTTCTTCCGCCACTTAAGCGTCTCTATTTTGTGTTAACTGCTTAGCATACTCTTTATCTTCTCTTTGCAAAACTGAAACCTTAAGTTGCTTTTGAGTTTCAAAAACCACAACAATGGCCGAATCAAGTTCAAACTCATCTTCAGACTCTCTTACTGAGCAAGAGCTTCAACTTCTGAAGAAGCTCTCGAAGAAATACGAACAGAAGGAGTCGAAGGAGAAAAAGGCTGAAGAGAAAACCAAGAAAAGAAAAGTCGAAACAGGTACTTCACAGAAACAGGGGGATGACAAAGGTAAGTCGGTTCTCTCAACTTACCCTCTCATGCGTTCTTATATGATAGACTGGAAGTTCTTTGGTGGTAATTTTGGTGGTGAATGAGTTTTAACTTCAAGGAAACTTTTTGAGTTCCAAGGCTGGGATGAAGTTTCTGTCTTTAAATGTGTTATGTTATGGAGAACCTAGTTAAGGAATTCTATGGTTCGTTGAAGGAAATGGGACAGAATCGATTTCCTGTCAATTTTAGGGTGAGACTAGGGAGATTTCATATAATGATTTTTGGAGAATTTTTATATGGTACCTATGCTGGTTCCAGAGTTAAACCAAAATCAAAGATGTTTTAGGGTTAGTGATTTACAAGAAAGGAAGACCTTTGTGAAAAAAGATAATGAAAAGGTGTCTGCAGACAAACAAGGTTCCAATAGAAATGCTCCAACTTGACAGAGAACCAAATGAAAATGGTTGTACAAGATCATTGTACATTATATCTATCCTAGAGCGCTTCCTGAAGTATGTGAATCCAAGTGGAAACTATGCATTATGTGGCACATAGTTGAGAAGAAATCTCTCAATCTATATCACATTGTGTTTGATAAACTGCAGAACAACCCTAAAAAGCTACCCTATGGTATGATTCTCATGCCTGTGTTTGAGTTTCTGAATGTTGATCTAGATAAGCATGTTGGTCAATCTGTTTCCAAGCTGGATAGCGGATCCTTGAAAATGAAGGATGAGGAAGCAGGTGAAGAAAAAGAGAAAGAAGAGAAGACAATTGAAGGAAAAGAAAAGGAAGAAGAGCAGGAAGAAAAAAAAGAAGGAAGAAAAGAAAGTAAAAAGGGAAACTAGAAAATCAAAAGAAAAAGTATTGAAGGAAAAAGAGAGTAAAGAAGAAGTTGAGAAGAAAAGAAAAGAAAAGGGGAAAGGAAAGTTAGATGAAATAGAGGAAGAAGAGAAAGTGAAAGAAGAGACTGAAAAAAGACAGAAGAAGAAAGAAACACAAGAAGAAGGAGAAAGACACTGAAAAAAGGAAAGTGCCACAGATAAAGAAGAATTAAAAGAAGAAGAAGCAGAAAAAGAGAAAGAACATGAAGAGCAAGAAAAAGGGAAGGAAGCTGAGGAAGGCAACGATGCTGAAACAGAGAAAATAGAAATCAGTGATGAAAAGACTACTGAGGGCAAAGCAGAGCAAGAATCTGAGTCATTGTCAGCTCAACGTAGTAGGGATGCTATGCTAAAAAGATTAGAAGAGGATCTAGTAGCAGAACATAACAGGGAACTTGATGAGGCGATTCAACAGTGCAAGACTGTGATTGAACAAAATCAGTCTCTCATTGAAGTTCTGGAAAGGATAAAAAGATGTAAATGCGAGGAAGTTAGCTACTCTAAAGGTGAAAGGAACACCTTACGTTCCCCCTCCTCAGAGAAGCCAAAGAAATGCGAAGCATACTGCTGGCAAGCACAAAACACATGGAAGAAAGCCTCCACTACATCCATCTTCAAAAAGGACAGAAAGTTCCTCTGAAACTGCTCCAGCTCTGAGAAGTTCTAAGAGACTTAGAACTGGTCTTAAGCCTCTCTGATCTGTTTTCTATATGTTGTGAACAATTTATTTTGTGTTATCTTCGTAGGATTTTTTTTTTTAACTGTTTATTTTCTTTATTTTTTCTATGACTATGTCTAACCTTTTTTTATGATGACAAAAAGGGGGAGAACAGGTAGTGAGAACAGGTAGTCTGATGGTAATTGGTGACAGATATTTTGGTGGTACTTGGCAACTACAAGGACTTATATTTTAGTGGTTATAGTAGTTATCTGTGTGTTTATTATTTTCTAATATGGTCTATTTTTGGTGAGCTATATTTTCTAAAGCTGTGTGATTTTAGAACTAAGGTTCTTATTCTAATGACTGTTCTTGTAGGTTGGGCGTAAGATCTTCTGTTCTATTCTATTTTATTGCTATGACCATATGTTCTAAATATTAGAACTCAGAATATCCTGTTTATCTGTTTATCTTTGCTAGTTCTAATACTTGTGCTCTGATTATTAGAACTTAGAATATCTTGCGTATACTTGTTAGTTCTAAAATCATTTTCTAAAAATGTCTCCCTAGTTCTAATTTTTCATAAAACAGTTTTTACTGCATCTATTCAGGGGGAGCAAAATACATGTTCTAATATGCTTTATATTAAAATCTTTTAACATGATTAGAACTCTTATGCGTAAAATTCAGGGGGAGCACATGTTTTTATGTTTGCTAAATTTATTGGTTTTGTCATCATCAAAAAGGGGGAGATTTTTGGCTCAAGGGTCAAAATGCTTATCTCGGATTTTGATGATTATTACAAAACAAATAAATTTAAATTACATTATTCAAATAAATTAAATTATATTATCTGTGCTAAATTTTTATTTTATGCAGAATTGAAATCATACAAGGCAAGTCTTACATTGAGAGTGAAGATTTCGAAGATCCTAGTCATCTAGGCTTTTAGGAAACTTTATAGGATAGAGAGAAAGGTTATATATGAGCACAAAAATCTTTTTCTCTCTCAAAAGTATTTTCAGAAATTTTTTTTTAATAAATTCCTTTATTTTATTTTTCAAAAAAAATATATTCCTTTAAATCGAAAATATTTATTTTCCTAAAACTAAAGAGATTTCTTCTCTAAAATTTTTGGTAATAAAATCATTCACTCTTTCAAAAATATTTTCTTTGAAAGATCTAAAGTATTAAAGTTATTCCGCTACCTTAAAAGAAAGGGAAAATCTCTTTCGGTTTTGGGTAAGTGCATCTTCCCGCAAATAAATTCTTTCCAAAAAAATGCTGTCAAAAATCTTTTCTAAAGGAAAGTGAAATCCGGGTTTATTCTCTACCATCAAAAAAGGATGAAATAATTTTCTGGTAACAAAGATTCTCACATCTTCTAAAGGAAAGAAGATATTCTGTTTCAATTCTTCCAAAAAAGTGACAGGCTTCCTTGTTTCCTATATATAAAGGAAACAGTCCACGCCTTAAACATTTGGTGAAGTAAGGAGTAATTGTTTTAAAGAGCACTCTCTCTCTCATTGAACGAACTTTTCTCTCAAAACTTATCTACCCTCATTTTCCTTTTCATCTCTATACCTTAACGTTTTCATATTTAAAGAAGAAAGAAATTTTACAGTTACATTTTGAAAAAACAGTCTAATGTTCTAATCGACCTTCTAATCTGATAAACTATTTTTCCTGTGCTTATATAGGCGTGTTCTTTCGTCTATTCAGAAATCTGTATTCTACAGTTAGACAGGCTTTTATTTTGTTTAAACCTTTTGAGTGTAATAGCTTAGTTAGAAGCTTGAGATAGAGGTTATCAAAGCGACCTTCTCCATGTGTGGGATAGCAATGTTCTTGAATTGAGTTTTTTTTGTACTCTACCAAAAACAGAAAGGGTTGAGGTTAACTAAGAATCTTTTGGAAATCTAGTGTGACAAAGGGGTAGATCTAGGTTGTTGATCTATTTGCCTTGTAACTGTTTGGTTGTCTCTTAACCTTTAAAAGAGATAACTTAGTTGGAGGGATCTCAAGATGGCGTCCTTGGGAGTGAATGTAGGCGAGTTAGTGCCGAACCACTATAACTCTCGGTGTGAATCTCTTATTTTCTGAAGTTTGGTTGAATACTGCTCTTTCACACTTTGTTTAATTTTTAAAAAACGTGAATTGTTAATATCAGATGTTCTAAACGACAATAAGTTTCATCTATTCTAACGTTAGAACTTTGGTATTCTAAATATAGTGAATATACAAAATGTTCAAAGTTGTTC